CTAAAGAAAATACAAATCTATCATAGGCATGTGCTATAATTTCGGAGTTGCGATGCCTCCGTCAGCCTTACAGGGGCATCTTGCCTTTATCTGAAAAATGTAGTAGCAAGAACATGCGAATGCAATGACGGGACCTATCATAACAGTCTATTTTCCTACGATACTATCCTAACAGACAGCTTGGATGTGTATTCATTTTCTACACACGACCCACACGTGCGAGAATGGACCCACTAGTCGGTTTGTACACCGTTGGACCCCTTTTTTTGTCGGGTAAGCATACTTTGGGAGCTCTCTATGTCGAACACCCGTTTGAAGTAGTAGCCGTCACGGCAACATTATGTAAAACATAATGGTCGTTCTCCTGCCTAGTAGTGTACGTGTTCGTACCATCGTGAAGGAATATGAATATCCCCCAATGCATGAGCACACATTAATGCTTGAGGTCCCAATGCATGAACAACCTGCAGTAGTATTCTACCAAATGTCTTGTAATCTCTTTTCAATTGGCGTCAATAAAGAGTGCGAGTGTTTCCCAGAAAGAGTTGTGTTCAATAGACTGGTATCAGAGCAACGTTAGTGTAAGTTGTCTAATCTCTTTAAATTCTTAGTATGCTCTATGGTTGCAGCTGAATCTGATCTTCCACATCAGAAACGATTCTTTTAAATTATTAGTGAGTGGGTTTCTTTGTGTCGTGAGTAGTCTGTGACTCTGCAAGTTCTGTGTCGAAAGAACTTGTTTGGTAGTTTTAAGATATAGCCAACACGATGAGTGATTTCCAAATCGTTGGAGGAATCAAGAAACTCAACAACAACAACTAAGAGACCTTAGGGCGTTGACAACAACAACACGTAGGCAACATGCATGAAGTCCTATTTACAAGGACAAAACCTTTGGGAGGTCGTTGATGAGAGTGAAACTACGCTTCCAGAGGAGGATTCTAATGGCGCCTTGCACAAATAGAGAATCAAAACAAGCAAAGAATGTTTGCCTTGAAGACCACAATCGAAGAAGAGATGTTAAAACACATTTGGGTGACAAGACACGGAAAGAAGCATGAGACACATTCGTGATGTTGTGTTAGGTTATGGAGCCTGCTGCTTATTTATAGCTGAGTCAATGGTTATACATAGTAAAACTATATTTGGTAAATGATAGATAAAGTAAATTGTCATAAATAGTAAATAGCTATGTATAGTAAAAAGCTATATCGGGTAGAGCAATATATGGTAAATAGTTATATATAGTAGATGTTTATATCTGGTAAAGCTAAATATAGTAAGCTAAACCATATATATATCCCCTCGGGCAGAGCTTTGAAAATGTACTTTCTGAATTCTCTTACTGTACATACTTGAAGTTATCAATATAAATTCTTTAGCTAGAGTTCTCTTTGCATTTTTTCTATCTTGTTCTTTGTGTTCATCTAGATCGAGTGTGTGCGTTGTTGTGCTATCCTAACAACTGGTATCAGAGCCAGGTTGAAGTCACCACGACCTGTGAAGATGGAAAGTTCAAAGATTGGAATTGAAAAGTTCGATGGATCCGATTTTGGTTTCTGGAAAATGCAGATTGAAGATTATCTGTATCAGAAAGGTCTTCACGAACCCTTGTTGGGGGTGATGCCGGATATCATGACCACGGAGCAGTGAAAGCTCAAGGATCAATAAGCCTTAGGGCTGATCCGGTTGACGCTATCCAGAAACGTGGCCTTCAATATAATCAAGGAGAAGACAACGTCAGATCTATTGAAGGCGCTGTCGAATATGTACGAAAAACCATCGGCTATGAACAAGGTGTATTTGATGCGGAGATTGTTCAATCTACAGATGTCTGAAGGTGGATCTGTTGTTGATCATATAAATGAATTCAATATGATCGTAAGTCAACTGAGTTCGATGGAAATTAATTTCGAGGATGAAATTAAAGCATTGATTTTGATGTCATCTTTTCCCGAGTCGTGGGATAATGTTGTTGCCGCAATCAGCAGTTCGCGAGGATCTGATAAACCGAAGTTTAATGAAATTCGAGATGTAGATCTCAGCGAAAGTATTCGCAAACGAGAAATTGGAAATTCGTCTGGTAGTGCTCACAGTGTTGACCAACGGGGAAGAAGTAAATCGAAGGGTCCAAACAAAGGGCAATCAAAATCAAAGAACCGAGAAAAAACTCCAAATAGACCAAACGTAACGTGTTGGAATTGTGAAGAAAAAGGTCACTTTCGGACAGGTTGTATAAGACCAAAGAGGAAGTAGAATCACAAATCTGGAGATGATGATGATTCTATAAATTCAGCAGAAGACATTGGGGATGCTCTAATCCTCAGCGTGGACAGTTCGATTGAATCTTGGATTTTTTATTCAGGTGCATCTTTTCACTCGTCTGCAAATAAAGAGTTGTTCTGGAATTTCAAGTCTGAAAATTTCGAGAAGGTGTATCTTGCCGACAACAAAAGATTTGGAGATTAAAGGAAAAGGAGATGTCTGCATAAAAACTCTGGCAGGAAATCTTTGGACATTAAAGGATGTCAGATATATTCCTGGTCTCAAGAATAACCTGATCTCTATTGGTCAGTTGGACAGCATAGGTTATGCAACACAGTTAGGGAAGAGCTCGAGGAAGATTATGAAGGGTGCTACGGTAGTAGCATGTGGTTCAAAATTTGGAACCTTATACACCACTGTAGGATGTATGAACATAGCTGCTGTGCTGAGAGTGCTTCAAATTCAAGTCTATGGCACAATAGACTTGGACATATGAGCGTGAAAGGAATGAAGACGCTGGCTGCGAAAGGAGTTTTAGAAGGTCTGAAATCTGTTGATGTGAGTCATTGTGAGAACTACGTTATGAGCAAGCAGAAACGAGTTAGCTTCACAAGGACTGCCAGAGAATTGAAGAAAGTGTGATTGGAAATGGAACCATATGTGGAGCAAGGTTCGACGAAGCAAGTGGGAGTTGAGCTTGAGTTGTAGAAAAACTCACCTAGTGATGTTGTAGCAGATACTTATGAAACTTCTGAGACTATTGCTGAGGAACCAGATGTGGAGCATGGTTCCAAGACAACGAAGCAAGTGGGAGCTGAGCTTGAGTTGCAGGAAAACTCACCTAGTGATGTTGTAGCAGATACTCATGAAACTCTTGAGACTACTGCTGAGGAACCAGATGTGGAGCATGGTTCCAAGACAACGAAGCAAGTGGGAGTTGAGCTTGAGTTGCAGGAAAACTCACTTAGTGATGTTGTAACAGATACTCATGAAACTCCTGAGACTACTACTGAGGAACCAGATGTGGAGCAAGGTTCTAAGACCACGAAGCAAGTGGGAGTTGAGATTGAGTTGCAAGAAAACTCACCTAGTGATTTTGTAGCAGATACTCATGAAACTTCTGAGACTATTGCTGAGGAACCAGATGTGGAGCAAGGTTCCAAGACCACGAAGCAAGTGGGAGTTGAGCTTGAGTTGCAAGAAAACTCACCTAGTGATGTTGTAGCAGATACTCATGAAACTCCTAAGACTACTGCAGAGGAATCAGTAGTGGAGCAAGTGACACCTGAACCGGTGTTGAGAAGATCATCCAGTACTATCAGAGTACCAGATATGTATGTACCTTCATTACACTATCTGTTGCTGATGAAAGGGAACCAGAGCCCTTTGATGAGGCCCTACAGTTGGAGGATACAACCAAGTGGGAGCAAGTCATGGATGATAGGACGTCTAGGCTTCAAAAATGCGTTGTACTAAGGCTGAGTACGTGGCAATAGCTGAAGCTGGAAAGAAGACGATATGGATGACTGACTATCTGGAAGAATTGGGCAAGAAGCAGCACGAAAAGATTCTTTATAGAGATAGTTAGAGTGCCATACAGTTGGTGAGGAGCCCAGTCTATCATTTAAAGATAAAACACGAAAGGCGATACCATTTCACTTGCAGGTTAGTGGAAAATGGTGATGTATTTTGAGAAAATAGAGGGTGCAAAGAATCCAACAAACATGTTGACAAAATGTGTTGATGTTGGAATATTGAGGTTGTGCAAAACCTCAATTGGTATGGTGTAGTGAAGATATTCATGATCGTTTGAGAATGAAATTCTTGGTTGACTGGATCAGTCTCCAAGTGGGAGAATGGTTAGATTATGGAGCCTGCTGCTTATTTATAGCTGAGTCAACGGTTATACATAGTAAAGCTATATTTGATAAATGACATATAAAGTAAATTGTCATAAATAGTAAATAGCTATGTATAGTAAAAAGCTATATCGGATAAAGCTATATATGATGAATAGTTATATAGAGTAGATGGTTATATCTGGTAAAACTAAATATAGTAAGCTAAACCATATATATATCCCCTTGGGCAGAGCTTTGAAAATGTACTTTCTGTATTCTCTATATTCTCTCTTACTGTACATACTTGAAGTTATCAATATAAATTCTTTAGCTAGAGTTCTCCTCGCATTTTTTCTATCTTGTTCTTTGTTTTCATCTAGATCGAGTGTGTGCGTTGTTGTGCGATCCTAACATGTTGTTCTCAAAGAAGAACAATACGAGGATACAACTTCTGAAGAACGAACTGTTATCAATCTCACAACGTGACATGAAGATTGCTAGTACTTTCACAAGGTCAAGTCGACCTATTGGGAGATTACTAAACTAGACCCAAAGTCCATCATTGGAGAAGCTCGAATGAAGAGAATCATTATCCACGAATTGCGACCAGAATATAGAAGCTTCGTTATTACTACACAAGACATCACTCGTAGAGTTCAAAAATTTGTTAGCCAATCAAGAAGCCATACCATCATTGTTATATTGTAAACTATTTTGTAGTTGACTTAGAACTTTTATCACATTTTTTACCCTCGAGTCTATGTGGCAGGCAACGATTCAAACCTTCGAAAACCTAATTGTTACACGAGCTCAACCCATTTGTGAAAGTTTAAACGAAATCATTGATCGAAATGTTATAAATGCCTTTTCTCAATAACAATAGGAGAAAATCAACTAAAGAAAATTTTGATAGTTATCCATAATAATAGGAGAAACCACATGCAAAATTCTAAAGCAACCAAACCATCTACAAAACATGCGTACAACAACGACACCAATGAGCAAAATCACAACAATAAGAACTATCACTTTCAACATTGGATTGATATATTTCTGAATGAATCTCTTGACTTTCACCTTCCAACAGCTTTCATAATAACTATTGATATCTTTAACCATTTGAAGCTCAGCCATGTTCTTAAGCTCCAACACACTTCTCAATCCATCAAACAATTTCACTACCTCTTCTTCACTTCCTGCATGGCTCTCAATTATGCTTCCTTCCTTCAATATCTTGACATCTTTGATGGTTGTTATCAACCCGCTCATCAACACTACATAATTGCTAAAGTATGGCGGGTTTAGTTTAGTTGCAGCTTCGAACGCAACTAGATTTCTGAATACTACTTCTGAGAAGGCGTTAATGGTGATCGTTGGCAACTTGAACCAAGGTTCTGGTCGTTCTTTCTCGAACCTTGTTGAAGGAATATGAATAAATAGTTAAATCACCGACCAATCCAAAAATTAAACTGCGTGAGTATAACAGTCTAAGCCCACAATTTTAAAATGCATATGCTAGGAAGAGGTTTCCACACTCTTATATGGAATGTTTCGTTCTCCTCTCCAACAGATGTGGGATCTTACAATCTACTCTTCTTGGGGACCCAGCGTCCTCACTGGCACACCGCCCAGTGCTGGTTCTGATACCATTTGTAATAATTCAAGTCCATTGCTAGCAGATATTGTCCGCTTTGCTCGTTACATATCGTCGTCAGCCTCACACTTTTAAAACACCTATGTTAGGAGAGGTTTCTACACCCTTATATGAAATTCTCCGCTCCCCTCTCCAACCAATGTGGGATCTCTCAATCCACCCTCCTTACCGCCCGATGCTGGCTCTTATATCATTTGTAACAGCTCATGCCCACCGTTAGCAAATATTGTCTATTTTAGCTTGTTACATATCGTCATCAGTCTCACGGTTTTAAAACGTGTCTGCTAGGGAGAGGTTTCCACACCCTTATATGGAATGCTTCGTTCCCCTCTCAAACAAATGTGGGATCTCACAATCCACCCTCCTTGGGACCCAGCATCGGCACATCGCCTAGTGCTGGCTCTGATACCATTTGTAACAACTCATGCCCACCATTAGCAGATATTGTCTATTTTAGCTCGTTACATATCGTTGCAGCCTCACAGTTTTAAAACATATCTGCTAAGGAGAGGTTTCCACACCCTTATATGGAATGCTTCGTTCCCCTCTCCAAACGAGGTGGGATCTCACAATCCACCCCCTTGGGGACCTAGTGTCCTTGCTGGCACTGTCCAGTGCTAGCTCTGATACCTTTGTAACAGTCCAAGCTTACCATTAGCAGATATAGTCTACTTTGGCTCGTTATATATCGTCATTAGCCTCACAATTTTAAAACACGTCTATACAGGAAGGTTTCCACACCCTTATAAAGAATGCAAAAAAAACTCTCTTAAACGTTTGGGTTAGGGAGTGATGTAACAAACCTGATGCTTTTATGGAAGGCCTTGTCGTTGCCATTTAATAGGACTCCGACCCGTCTAAGCTGCTCGGCCGACGGGATCAACCACGGGCTGTTCCTATCCTGTCCGGTGGAAGAACACGATGACCAAACTCTCCCATGTAAACCAAACAAGGCTTGGATCAAACCCACGGCTTCACTCAGCTGCTGTAAGGTGGGAATTTGTAGCACAGAAACAAAAACACTAAAAAAATCCAAAAACAAATAACCACCAGAATCTGCCATTTCACATGGACCACGAATATGCGAACTTGTATCCAATATCAAAAGATACAAAAAGTGTAGCAAATGATGAGATTGTTCAAGAATTTGGTATACATCAGTGGAGTCCTTGTAACGCTTGAATTCAATAAGATCATGAGGAGGGAGCTTCTTGGGGGAAATAACCTCACAAAATTTGAAGAACAAGATATGCAAATTGTTCCCAAAATTTTGTGGCAAAATTTTTTTGAGAACAAAAATTGGAATTTGATTCTCGAGCTTAAGAACATCATTCACTAACTCATTTTGGGTCATCAAATTTGCCTCAATTAGAGAACAATACAACTTTTGTTCAATAAAAGAAGGAAATGGATAAGGGAAATAAAGTTCAGGATATGATCTTCTTCTCTCATTTGTTTCATCGTTGGAAATGGCTAGAATTTGAACCAAAAACAACCCATCTAGGAGCATAATCCAAGCCAACGTCTCGGACCCGAAATCGAGAAATTTGTCGTAACAAGATCGGATTTTGATATCGAATTGCTCGAGATCAGCGGCGATTTGATGGAGTTGGGGGAGTTTGAATGATTCTATTGCGTTGATTGCGTTATCGAGCTTGTGCAATTCCATTTGGTAGAGCTTGTTTGTGAAGTGGTGGTAAGGCCCAAGCGCAATGTGGCGAGGGAAGTAAGCTTGTGGCATGCCATTGGTGATGGAATGAGGCAGCTTGAAGATGGAAGTGGGCGTTTGTAAGGCTGTTTGGAGGGTATTTGGTTGGAGAAGCTGGGTGATATGAACAACCCAATTGGTTTCATGGGGTGTTTTGTGAAGCTCTTTGGAGTTGGAGGCCATGTTTTGGGGAAGAATGATTGCATTTAGGTTGAGACAAGAGGGAAGAGATTATAAAGTTGAATAAAATATCTTCTTATTGAATCATATCTTAATAAAATTATGGGAGTTATGGAAAAAGAAAAATCTATAACCAAATCTCTAACATAAAAATCCTTTTCTTGGATCAAGATAATTAAATTAAGGACCCACTTTATTCTTCTTCCATGTGATGTCCTGTTGGGGAGGAGCACGGGGAGGAGAACAAAACACCCTTTATAAGGATGTGAAAATATTTCCCTAGCAGATGCGTTTTAAAGCCTTGAGGGAAAACTCGAGAGGAAAAGCCCGAGAAGAGGACAATATGTGCTAGCGGTAGGCTTGGGCCGTTACAAATGGTATCAGAACTAGACATTGGGCGATGTGCCAGTAAGGACGCTGGACCTTGAAAGAGGGTGGATTTGGTGGTGGTCCCACATCGATTGGAGAAAGGAACGAGTGCCAGCGAGGACGCTGGGCCTCGAAGGAGGTGGATTGTGATGTCCCACATTGATTGGGGAGGAGAACGGAAGGAGAACAAAACACCCTTTGTAGGGTGTGAAAACCTTTCCCTAGCAGACGCGTTGTAAAGCCTTGAGGGAAGCACGAGAGAGAAAGTCTAAAGAGGACAATATCGGCTACCCGTGGGCTTGAGCTGTTACATTCCCACTCCCCTCTTTATTTAAAAAAATAAAAAAAATAAAAAAAATAAATAAATAAATAAAAAAAGTCAACTTTGTGGTAAATTAGAGAAAATTCATAGAGGAGTGTTAGGACGGTTTTACGTTGACCTAGGTTAGGACATCTCCAGCAGATTGAGCATCCTAAACCAAGTTAGCCTCGAGGATCTAGCTTAGTGAGCCCTAGAGATAAGAATTCAAATTTTGAAACGTTTAGATATCAAAAGAATCTAGTTAACCTCTACAACACTCAAGGGACAATTAAGGTAGCTTACCAGACCTACTAATGGTGTCAACAGTATTACTAGAATCTTCACCCCTTATCTTCTTTAATACACCCTTAGCATTATCAGCGACCTAGGGTGAATCTAATAGTGCCCTTGCCGAGCGGTAGGTTTACAGGAGCAGTACCACCAAGCTTAGCCCTAGGCTAGATAGAGCAGTGTGTCGAGGAGACTAGGTGTCATGACTGTCACTCTAGGTAGAAAGCATTTAGAGTATTTGACATTTGTAACTGATTTTAGTGTTGTGTTGTGATTTATGAAAATTTGATAATCAGAGTTTTATGATATTTAAACAATTAAAAAAAAAAAAAAAACAACCCGACAATCCAATTCGAAAAAAAATAATTTGGGTTGTGAACTCTATTTGAGTTGCTCGAGTTACTAACCCAACTGACCCAAAATTTCGAATCATTTCCAATAAATTTTTCAATCCAACTCAACTCAATCGGTGCACTATCCTAACATTCACAAAATCTACTTGTGATTTTTTTATATATTTTCGAAATCCATCTCAAAGCATTCTTTGGATCTAACGAAGGTTTGACCAACCATTTAAAATGGAAATAATGAATTAATAATTACTACATGTGGGCAACGAGGAGTAATTAATAATTTTTAAAAAAATTAATTAAATATTGAGTGGATAAGAAGAAGACAAAACAAAGACTTTATATGTTCAATAATTGCTGAATAAATAATGTCGACCCTTGACGTGACATGTTCAAGTTGATATTATTAAATAAAATGCCATTTTAATTTAAACTAATAATACCATGCGACCATAATTTATCAATGTCGCATCAACTACGTTAACTTTCTTTAGAATGGCTGATCGATACTGTATGATAGTGTCTATGTTTCTAGTTGACTCTAGAATTATTCCGCTGAGCGACAACATTCATATAATGGCTCAAGCTCACCCACTAGTATATATTGTCTTCTTTAGGCTTTTCATTTCAAGCTTCTCCTCATGGTTTTTAAAATGCGATCGGCTAGGGACAGATTTTCATACTTTTATAAAAAATGTTTCCTCTTCTTTCTAAAAGATGTGAGATCTCACAATCTACCCCATTCAGTGGTATTAGAGCGACATTGGGCGATGTGCGACCACACAGCTCTCGAAAACGACCGAAAACGGACTAACGCACTAGAACAAGCCCCCTATATGACCACACAGCTCTCGAATGCTCATCCACCTCGATTAGCAGCTTGCGAACACTTGAAAAGGAAAAGAAAGCAAGAATGAGTATAGAAATTATACTCAGTAAACCACCAACTTGGAGGCTCTCATCACATTCTAGGCTTAAGAGATTCCCACGAGCTTCTCATTAGCTCTCGGACATCTGATTCTGGTCTTATCCCCTTGGGGCTATTCTGATTCTCCGTCCATATATTTCAAACCTTAAGATTACTTGTGTCGAGCTATGAATGACTGGTGTCCCTCTACGAGGCGCTACCACATGCATGGCTCTCTGAGACTATATGACATCTTACCTAGGAGGTGAGCTGAAACCTCTAAGGTCCATAATAGTCCTCCTCATTAGGGGGCATGACCCCCTCTCTTATCCCATGCAACTAATGGGTTGTACGACATGGATATCTTGTTCCCCATGCGAAATGGCTAGGAGTAATGGGTTGTGATTAGAAACTCCTGGTCTCCCACCAAGTTGTTGCACCGTTCACACAACTAGCAGCCTAAGGACACTCCTAAGGTGATTCGTATGTCGTGGTCATTTGTTAGGCTCCTAGGTGGAAGGTTAGGTCTAGATTTAGTGACTAGTCACCCTAATCACCAATCCCTAGTCTTAACGTAATATTGGATCATCATTAATTATCTAGAATCCACATGTATAATTCATGCAAATATAAGTATACATACTCAACGGGACGATAACATCCATCAACACGCGAAGCTAGAGTTCACAAATTTTCATCCTCCTTTCAACATGAATTAAACACATACATACATATATAGCGGAAGCGTAAAGCAAGATTACCTTCTCTTAGCATTTCACATTGTGCATCCATACTCATATTACCTATGGAAAAGCTACCACCTAAGGTAAACATACTAGCATCATGCATCGAAGTGATTCCTACAAGTATTTCTTCCTAAAAATTCATCCTGTGACTTACATAGTTGACGCGTGCCCTTTCGCTTAACGTCTCTATGCAAATAGATTGTCAAAAAAATATAAATTCTCAATTAAGTCCTAATTTGGACTTGGAATCAATATGAAAATCGGGAAACCAGAAGTCAAACGAGTTAAAGACTGACCCTCACGCGCACAATACGCGCTTCCACGCGCCAGAGAGACACTCCACGTGCAAACCCACACGCGCGTATGGATGTGCATTAGGGTGTTGCCACATGGCATGCTCGAGTTGGTCAGCCGTTGACGAATGCGTGGGTTCGAATCTAGAGTCGCATGCTGAAAATTTGAATTTCCTTACATTGACGTAGGGCACACATGGTTTGGGTCGAAGCGTCAAATAGTTTTGACCACAAGTCAGGTCGATGGATGTGTGCCGTCGAGTTTGACGTGCGTTGCGGGTTAGAGCAGTACCGCGTGTTGCCGACCGAATGGAGCTATGTCGCTCTACTCTATGTGTGACGCATTGCTCCAAGCAACAAGCAACACGTGTCTCTCGCCGGTCAATGTGCTTCTACTCTCTCTGGTTTACATGGCTCGCCAAAAATAAATTTCTTTCCTCTTGCTAGTCGCAACACAAAATCGATTTGGTTTTTCTCACTTTTTTCATTTTCATATCTTTTAATCTATAAGTCAAATCGATTTGTTTCTCCAGCAAAATTATAGATCTTAATCCCAACTACATCTTGGTTTTTTCTTTCTTGAATTTTACTTCATTACAAAGTAAGTTATGGATGTCGGAAATAGGTACATTTTCTTCCTTACCATTCTTGGATAAACTCTCCGAAGTTTTGCTCTCAGTCCAAGATTTTGTCCAAGCTCCTTCACGGAATCTATGGAGCTCCCTCCCTAGATAAACATAATAAAAAGATTGGATCTTGATTCGAAAGATAAAAGGCTTGGATCCGAAGAAAATGCTCAAGATCTTACCTCAAGAATTCTCGATTTTCTTGACGAAAAATGGAGCTCCTGCAACTCAAATCTCTTTCTTCCTTCATAGATGAAGTTCTTGCAACAACTCCTTGATTGGAAACGAACTCGGGTCGTGGTCTAGTGAGTTTTTTATCGGTTTTTTTCTTTCTTCTCTCCTCAAATTCTTTCAACTCTCTTTCACCTTTTCTCTTTTGCACGTCTTTCGCTAGAGGTCCATTTGGACCCCCCAGAATGACTTGAGCGACAAAATGTCCTCTTTGCTCATCTGTTGACTTTGACCCCCCCTTTTTTCTTCGGGTACTACAAATTCTCCCCTCCTTAGAAACTTTCTTCCTTGGAAGTTGGCGTCTCTAGGAATAGTTCGGGATAGGCTTTCCTCACGCCTTTTTCTTGTAACCAGGTTACCTCCTCATTACGGTGATTACCCTATGAGACTTTTACAAAAGAAATGATTCTGTAGTGCAATCACTAAGTGTCGCAGCCAAAATTCTGACAGGTTTCTCTTTGTAGGTTGTTCTATCACATGTCTGACGTGTACTTTCATAGCATGGAGACATGAAATACATTGTGCACAACATCGAGGGTTTGGCCGTAGTGCAATTTTGTAGCTTGCCCTTTCATCCATGGGTAGGAAGCCGTGCTAAATCTTAGTTGCGTTCCTAACTTCTTCTAAAGACTCTTCCTAAACTGAGAGGTAAACCTGGTGTCCCGGTCTGACACTGTAGAGACTGACACTCCTTGCAGACGTACTATTTCTTTGACATATAACTGAGCCCCCCGATCTAATCGATATGTGGACTTGCCTGGAATGAAGTGAGTTGTTTTGGTTAGTTTGTCTATAACTACCTAGATTACGTTAAAAACCATGTTTAGTCTTTAGCAAACCCGACATGAAGTCCATACATACTGATTACTATTTCTATTGAGGAACATTCAAGGGCTGTAGCAA